TCATTTTGGGCTAGCATGTTATACACCAAACCAGAACAGTGCTCAAGAATATTTACTGAGTGAATAAATAATTCATTTTGCAGCAGTGCCCTAATGGTGTCCCTGCCCTATTCAAGAGCTCTCAATGGTTTTCTGTTATCTGAGAAATAAATTCCCTTAGTTGGCATTCAATATCCTCCATAATTCAGCTTCAACCTGCTTTTCAAATCTTATTGCTTGCTCTTCTCAGCATGGATCCATCCTATGCTAAAGTTTGTTTGAGCTATTTCCCAAACACACACATACTTGTCCAGCACCATGTCTTCACTGATATTAACAAATTTACTGCTTTCTCCATCCTTCTCCTCTTCCATCCTCACTTCAGTGGGTTGACATTCAGTCTGTTCTTTGAGACTTCAGTCAAATGCCTTCTCTGGCTGTGAGCCCTCCTTTTTCCGCCTCAGGTTTATTTGATGCTTTACCTCCTCTTTGATCTCTTACTTAGTTCTTTAAAAAAATTTTTTTTAGAGACAGGGACTCACTCTGTTGCTCAGGCTGGAGAACAGTGAGGTCACAGCTCAGTGCAGTCTTGAGCTCCGGGGCTCAAGAGACCTTCCCGCTTCAGTCTCCTGAGAAGCTAGGTCTACAAGCATGTGCCACCATGCCTGGCTAGTTTATAAATTTTCGGTAGGCATGAAGTTGCCCAGGCTGATTTCGAACTCCGGCCTCAAGCAATCCTCCTGTCTCTGCCTCCGAAATGTTGACATTGCGGGTGTGAGCCACGGCACCCACCCACCAGTTCTTCATTTCTTATCTCCTCTATTGCATTATAACTTCCTTGTGGAGGTGAGGGGGGAGGAAGTGGGAGGTGCTGGCACATAACAGGGTGTGCAATTTTTTTTGTGTGTGGCTTACCAGGCATGAACCTCTACAGAGCTTGACTTGAGACTTACCAGCTCACAGCGTCGTGTGCATTTTGTCTCCCAGATCGGTGTTCGAGTCCTTAAAGGAAGGAAGATTATTTGGAAGAAGCACAAAGATTATTTGGTGATGTCAGCTTGGATTTTGAACTGTAACCGTGTCACTTACTGTGAGGATTTGAGAAAGATGCTTAAACTCTCTGAGCTTCAGTTTCCTTATTTGGACACTAGAGGCCTTAGATGAGGATGGGTGTAAAGGCCTAACACACTGCTTGGCACATCACAAACCATTAATAAACATCTGCTAAACAGGTACAACAGAAGAGTTGACCCGCTTGCTGATGATCAGTTGTTACCATGTCAACTTTAGGGAATACTCTCTCCCATCAATTAAAAAAAGAGCAAAGGAAAAAGGGAACAAAGAAAAAGAGAAGCATGATGAGGCTCACTAGAGAGGCACCACCTAGCCAGTCTCAACTGTATTCATCTATGTGATCATCAGCAAGTGGCTGCTGAGGTCTCAGTCTTCTCATCTGTAAACTGAGCAGTGGGCATTGGCATCTAAGCTCCCCTCCAGCTCTGACATTCCAAGAGCATTAAAGAAAAAGGATGAATCACCCCCTTCAAAATACCAATATGGGCTGGGCCCTCCCGCTGCGGTCCCCATCCAGCACAGCTAAGAGCTCTTAATACGCAGCCCAGCCAGCTTCTTCTTGCAGCTGCCACCAAACTTCAACCCCCTTTCCCAGGGAGTCTCAGAAGCAAGACTGATAATGGACCCCTGGCCTTCGCCATCTCAACAGGGAACTAGATCAGGTTCCCAGACTCTGGGGGCCAGAGGACCCTCCATTGAGAGGGCTGGCTTTCCCTCTCAGTTTGGTCATTGGTCCTCAGTTTGCTCTTGTGTGCAGTGTGTGTGTGTGTGTGTGTGTGTGTGTGTGTGTGTGTGTAGCATTGAAAGAGTGGAAGAAAGGAATAAAGGGAAGACTTGCAAATAGGGGGTTGATGAGTGAATTCTGGAAATCACAGTGGGAGGGATAGGTTGGTGGAAACCTTGCCATTCTCTTACAAGATTTGAAAAAGTTGACGTGTATGTATCTCTAATAGTTATAAATCTCCACTCTGGGGAGGCATGCCCCTCCCCCAGCAGCTGCATAAATTCATAGACACAGGTGTCAGAACCGCAGAAGTCACCTGGATCAATTTTCCTCCTTACAGGAGATAGGCACTGGGTGACCGAAGAGGACAGTTTTCTCCACTCTATACCCAGAGCCCTCTCCTCCTTTCTGCGTTGATGCTATTATTAGTATTATCGGCATTAATAATAATTGAGAGGTAACCGGCTGTGCATTAGGCAATGCTCCAGGACCAGCACTTCTTCCTTGGCTTCTGGCACTGCCTGGGTCCTGCTGGGTCCTCTCCCGCACCCGCAGCGGCTTCGGGCCTGCTCTCTGGGTCTGTGCATCCGGTGGTCTGTCTGTCGCCGGTCACGTCTGCAGCCCGCGTCCTCCCAGCTCACACCGGCTCCCGCTCTGAAAGCCGAGAAGCTCGCCGGCTGCGGGCGGGTTTTCCAAGTGGGCAGGGGTGGGGAGGAGGAGCGCGGTCGGGCGGGCCCGCGGAGGGAGGAGGGGGCGTCGCGGAGGGGAAGACCTTGCATTGTAATCCAATGACATTGCCAATGTGGGGGTGGGGGCGCTGGCCTCGGCGCGCTCTCCGAGTTTTGGCTGCCCGCCCAGCTGGGAATAACTCTCTTCGCATAATTCGCGTGTTTACCAGGCATGAAAATTCTTGCTTTCGGTCCCCCCCACCACAAGCCCCCTCCTCTTCCCCACTCCCCACCACCTCCGCCCCTCGCAAGTGAAACTCTGTCTAAAAAAATATTGGCTCGGGGCACAGAAAGTTTTGCATAAATTCATAAGTGATGAATGGCTGATTTTAACGTTATTTGGGTATTTGTCAGAACTTAACAAATATACATGGGGACGGCAGTTCATAAACTTAAACATCTCAATATCCCCTTTCTTCTGGAAATAAATTACGTTTGTTTGCCCGGCTTGGAGTCTTAAGGTAGTCGACATTAGGAATATTTTAAAAGCCATCATCCATCGAGCATGTCTCCCAGGCGCCAGGAAGATTAAATGAAAGAATCATAAGATGGAGGTCTTTAACTTTTAATCCTTTTACAATGAAGCCTCAGATAGTCGCGGGGGCAGGGTGCCCTCTCTGGGGGGAATAATGCCGTTATTCCTCGGCTCTCAGTTAATGAATACCCTAACGTCTGTCCCACGGCTGACGGAGGCAGCGCCGGGGAGGGGGCTCGGCTCCGGGGCCAGGCTATTGAAATGAGGAGCCATCGAGGCTGCGTCGGGAGGGAAGAAAGCGCCCGGCTGGAGGGACAGGGCGGGCGGGGCCGGGGCATTGAGACTGCGCTGGGGACCCGGCGCAGGTTTGAAATAATTAGCATAGATTCGCCGGGACTCCGGACTTGGGGGTTTAGGGAGGTGGGGAGTGGGGTGGGAGGAAAGCCGGGAGGGAGGCGCGGGGTGGTGGCAGGGAGGTGGAGAGGGAGCAAAGGAGAGCAACTTTGGAGTCCAAGATAAATAAAGGGAGCGCTGAGCAGTGTCAGGAAGCTGGCCCACGTGGAGCTGAGCGGACGGGCGCCACCGGGGACTGAGGTGGAGGGACGCAAGCGAGAGTCAGGCGTCGGTCCCAAGGAGTTGGCTTTTTAAGGGGTGGGGTGGGAGTGATGTTTTGCACGTCCCTTTAAGGGGTTACGTGCCTTCTGCCCCTATCTAATCCTAAAGAAAGCGCAAAGATTCGGGTTCCGATTTCTCCCTCCACCCCACCCCTCAAGTGCAGAAAGTGCCCAGAGCGCGGGTATACCTTCTTCCCAAAAGTAGATCCTAGAGGTGGTGATTTTCTCCAGGATTCGGACTCCTTCGAAACCGTGGCCCTCAGTCTTCCTTAGGTCCCCCGAGAGAGCGGAGGCAAGTGTCAAATCTCCCCGATATCCCCAGCACCTCCGGCCGAGGGCCTGGGATTTCGGGGCTCGGACCTGCAAGATCCCGGAAGCTGTGAGCCTTGTTGATTCCAAGGGATTTTCTCAGCTCCCACCACCGTAGCTTCCGGGCATGCAAAGGGTTAACACGGGCTGGATATTGAGGTGGGGGGTACGAGGCGGGAGGGGTGGCGGGATCTGGGTGGGCGCGCTCTGATCTACCCCCCTCCCCATTCCTCGGGGGTCAAGTTTCAGCGGCACTCCGCCCCCAGGGTAGGTGTGAAAGACACGTGTCCCCATTGTGAAGGGCCTGTCAGGCAGGACAAAGCGGCCGCCCACCCTCCCCCCGCCCCTCGGCCCAGCCTGGGGTCAGCACCAGGGGGCCGGCTGGGTGTCGAGGTCACTACAGGCCCGAGCTTTGGTGACATAGGGGGAAAAGCTAGGAGACTGGGCGAAGGCCACGTGATTTTTAAGTGAGGGGTTAGAGAATATCGCGCCCCCCCCGCCCTCAAAAAACGTAACAGTCACCTCCGTCATGCCACAGGAGGGGAGTCCGAGGGGACGAGCCCCTTCCCTGACGGGGTACGGGGCAGAGCAGCATCTACTACCCGCCCCCTCCCACGCCCTCCCACCCCCCATCAATCACCAACACAGAAAATCAGTGTGGAACGTAGTCGGTTTTAGTGGTTTTCTTTAATCCTGCTCTGCACTTCTTTCTCATTTACTACACGGGATATTATAAAGAATAAATAGCAGATACTCTTAATTTACAATGATTAGTCATTCCATTTGTTCTCTATATTTACAATAACTGTAAAATAACATTGAACTCTATAGCTTCTTCGAGGTCCAAGGAAAACCAAAACACTTTCCGAAGAATGGAAAATAGCTTTTAAAAAGTCCTCTACAAAAGTTCCCCCGTCTCTTTGTACTTTAAGAAAAAAATAACTTTTTCCCCCTGCTTCGCCATGCGAAGGGCACTGGAATATAAATAGCAGGTTAACATTATTAGCAACAACCAGAATAAGTCTCTCTTTTCTCTGTTCTTTTTTTTTCTTTTGCTTACTTTTTTTTTTTTTTTAAATACAGTAGAAGCCGGTAACTTTTAACGTATAATACTGACCTTTTAATAAGTAAATTAAAACTGGGACCGTATATACACACACATATACATTCCTACACAGTTAAACAGTGCATTACATGAACCAGAAAGCTAGGTCTCTGTAGCCAAAAAAAAAAAAAAAAAAAAAAAAAAAAGTTCAATGAAAACCCTCGCTAGAAGGTGGTGGAAATGGTTGGAGGCGGTGCAGGGGGCGTCGGTGGGGATCCATCAAGTGTCCGGGTGCGGGCAGGGGGCCCCCGAGTTCTAGCAGGAGCACTTGCACTCGGAAATGATGGGGTACTGGATGGGAATCCAGCCGCAGCGCTGGCCCCCGCGCCGCTGACAGCGCCACCGCAGCACGGTGAGATGCACGGACTTGGACGGCTTGCACACCATGCCCTCGGGCACGGAGCACGAGCGCTTACTGAAGCAGCTGCCCACCTTCACGTAGCGCGGCCAAAATCGGCTGCCCAGGTCGTTCCACGCGTACAGCACAGGGCAGAAGGTCTGCGACCACAGCCACATCTGTAACTTCCTCCGCAGCTTCTTGCTCAGGCGCTGCTTCTTGCCCTGGGCCAAGCCCTCGGAGAACTCCAGCCCTTTGATCTCGCTCGGCATGGCCCCCGACGGCCGCTGCCGCAGTAGCTGGTCCAGCTCCGCCAGGTCCTCCGCGCCCCCAGCCGCACCCCCGCCCCCGCCGGGCCGGTCCTCGGGGGGCGAGGTGGCCATGAAGCCCGGGTCGTAGTGGCCCCCGAGCAGCGAGCGCAGCAGCGTCTCGTTCAGATCCTTCTCCTTGGGGTCAAAGATAGGGTCTGGGTGTTCGATGAGGTCCACCAGGGGCAGGTTGTCGCTGGGCGCCGGGCGGATGTGGAGATAGTGCTGGCCGCCGGCCGGTGTCGCCCGCAGCCCCAGGACCACCACCAGGGCGTAGAGGGTGACCCCCAGGCTGGGGCAGCGCTCCATGCCTCCGGCGCGCGCCCGGGGCTGCTGCTTCGTCCCGCGTCCCCGGAGGAGAGCACGCTGAGCCCGCGGCGCCGCCGCGCTCCCCAGTCTCTCCGGAGGCGTCTCACCCGAGGCTGGGGAGGCGCAGGGCCGGCAGCATGAGCCGCCGGGAGAGCCCTTCGCGCAGCGCCGGCTCCCACCGGGGCGGAAGAAAGGCACACAAGTTGGCCGCAACTCCTCTCTCGGGTCTACTGGGGAAGGCGGCCGCGGCGGGGCATCCGAAATTACTCCAGGGCGACCGCGGGGCGCAGGGGGCGCCGGCTCCTCGCTGCCTTCCCGGGCCGGCGGCGGCGCAGGGCGCGTGGACGAGCCGCTCTCCCCTCCTCCTCCTCTCGCTGCTCCTCGTTCCGCCGCTCTGTGCAGCGCCGCTGGCCGAGCGGGTCCTAGGGGCACTTCCCTCCGCCTGCTCCGGGCTCCGCGGTCGGCTCTGCCCGGCGGACTCCAGCGGCGGCGGCGGCGGCGGCGTCCGCGCACGTTGGCACCGGTTTGTCTGTCTCGCAGGTCCAAGCCTTTAAATTTCCTGCACTTTCAGCTCCATCACCATGGAAACCACTGACTCTCTCGGCGTTGCCCCCTCCCCCTTCTTCCCCCCAAACAACAACCCCACCCCCCACTTCTCCACCCCCGAGGAGCTGGAGCGGCACAGGCTCCGGGGGAAGCCGCCCGTACTCGCCGCGGAGGCGGCGGCGGCGGCTTCGGCAGCGCCCAGGGCTGTGCCCTGCCGGACCCAGATGCCCCGGGAAGCCGACAGTCCGGCTGCCCGCCGGAGCTCACAGGCGGCGGCGGCGGCGGCGGCGGCGGCGGCAGCGGCGGTGGCGGCGGCGGTGGCGCTTGGCAGGTCTCCGCGCAATTTTCTCTCTCCCCCACCACCCACCCCCCTTCTCCTCCTGCAAAATGCACCGCCCCCCTCCTTTCTCCTGGAGCAATGCAACTGGGGCTCTAGGCGCCCCGCCAGGGCCAGTCCTGGGGAAAGCTCGCGGCGGCTCTGGAGCCGGGCTGGAGGGTGCAGAGCCGGTGTTGGGGGGGCGGTGCTCGAGGTGGGGCTGGAGGGTTTCTTACTAGCTGAGTGCTTTGCACTGGGAGGGGAGCAGCGGGGAAGTACTGGGGGCTCCTTCATCGGTGCAGTTCGGAGCAAGAAATTTCTCCATGTGCATGGATCGTTTTTCCCGGGCGCGTCTCGCCTTCCTCTCTCCCGGGCTCTTGATCTAAGTCCCCTCCCCCCAACACACACACACACACACACACACACACACACACTCTCTCTCTCTCTCTCTCTCTCTCTCTCTCTCTCTCTCTCTCCCCCATCCCCCTTTGCACTGGGGAGTCCCAGATCCGCAGCGTTGCGCAGCGTGATGTCATTCCTAGGTAGCACTCCTGCCTGTCTGGCCCTCGGGCCCACGAGGGGGGTCCGCTCCTCACCATCCTCCTCCTCCTTGGCCGGGTCCTGCACCCTGAGTGGCCTAGCCTCCGGGGCACGTCTGGCTCGCCTGCGGCTCCCCTGGCCCGGCCGGCTCCGCGCGGCCGCTGCTCGGCTCCCTGGGGGCGGCCCGCCCTCTGCTGGCCCGCTGCGAGCCCTGCACCTGGCGCTGGCGGGGGCGGCGGCCGTGCGAGCTGGGTCGGCTGCTGCTCGCTGTGCCCGGCTCAGCTTCCGCGTCTGGGTCCGTGTCACTTTGTGTCTGCGCCTGCTGACGGGGCCGTTTTGGGTCTGGCTATTTTCCCGAAGCCCTCCAGGTCCCCAGTGTAAACAGACTTCCTGAGATTCTTCCTCAAACCCCTGAAATTTCACAAGAATGCGTGCTTCACCTTCTGCCTCCGGTAAATCGGTCTCAGTGGGTGCGAGTTGAAAGATGAATTGACAGCAGAGGTGCCTGAGTCTGGGCTGGGGTCCAGCCTGATATAACTTGGACGAGTCATTTTCCTTACTTTTCGCATTAGTGACATAACTGTTAATACATTTCTCTTCCCGCCCTACCTTTCTGTGATTTCAAATAAACCTACATGATGCTTTCTCTTTCAGAAGCAGTTTCTCTTTGATGGGAGATGGGCACTGAAATGACACCTCCTGTTAATTTCCCTTGGACGAGGAACTTAATCTAAGTTTTAAAATGCAAACTCAGTTTTCTTTGTGGTGAATGTGATTGGAATCTGGAAAAAGCTGGAGAAGAGACACTTGGAGTGGATGACTCAAGTATTCGCCAGTCTTCCACGGAGTGGGAGTTAAGAGGTCCCATTGTGACAGCCTAAATCACTCAACTTTCTTTCCCCAAAGATCTGGTTTTTCCTTTCAACCTGCCCCACCCCAACTCCCAAAGTTTATCATCTGTCTAAGGAAGAAAACACTTTGTTGCATACTACGGTCTTTCGGCAAAACCTCTATTAAAAGGGGTGGGCAGTTTCAGCTGAAAGCGTTTCCTTCAATTTTAAAGTCTAGACAACGAATTAGACTATCAAGGGACTGCTCAAAAGGAGATCTCGCTTTGATGGATACTGGAGATAAAAACAGCCCATTGGTTATTTGAATGGGGTTGACTTTGAAATAATATGTGATTAGAACCTGGTACAGGCCAGGCACAGTGGCTCATGCCTTTAACTTCCCAGCACTTTGGGAAGCCGAGGTGGGCAGATCACTTGAGGTCAGGAGTTCGAGACCCGTCTGGCCAACATAGCGAAACCCTGTCTCTACAAAAAATACACACACAAAAAATTTAGCTGGGTGTGGTAGCAGGCACCTGTAATTCCAGCTACTTGGGAGGCTGAGTCATGGGAATCACTTGAACCCGGGAGGTAAAGGTTGCAGTGAATTTAAATTGCATCACTGTATTCCAGTCTGGGCGACAGAGTGAGACTCTGTCTCCACTTCTCTCCAACCCCCCAAAAAGAACCTGGCACATAGAGAGCTCCTAAGCATACCTCTTTCGTTCTGATGTGCCTTATGGGGAGTCAGCACCAGTTTGTTTTCTTATGAAGATTACATGTTCCAGAGCAATTTTGTCACTACTGTGAATTAAGGAAAGTATTCAGTGGAGTTGAAGGGCTAAACTCTAGCTCAACCATCCTGAGATGGTAGGTTCCAATTCATGACATTATATTGTGCTGGTTTCTCTTCTATCAATCTCCGTCTCCTCTCCTTCAAATGATCTATTTTTGTTTGAAAACCAACCCAGATCCTTTATTTAGGCTGAGTAGATTTAACTGAACAGCAAAAAAGGCCCCTCAGGAACCAGAAACAAACCATTGCTTGAGAACAGATTGGGTGACCTGTTTATGGAGTGTCTACTGGGTGAAGACCATTGGGGAAAATCCGAAGAAGAAGGATTTCACAGTCAGTCTCCATCCTGCAAGACTTCTGCAGTACAGTTACGGGAGATATGACAAGCAGAAGAAGAAAATATTAAAAGGGTGTCGGAAAAATTTATAAGTAAATTATAATTAAAATTTATAATTTATGGGAACGTAACTGTGTGGACCAGTGTTTTGTAACCTTTTCTTTTTAAAATCCATGTCTCCTTTTGATAAATATAACAATATCATGCTCGTGTTTGAATGTTGTGTAAAGTTTTAAAATACATTATTATAGCCAAAATGAAGCCCAAGCAATTGTAATATGAGCTATACTGTTTTCAAACCATATGTACCCCTCTTCACTGTGAAGTTCTGAAATGTCACATTTGGGAAGCTTGCAGCCCCTGACTCTGCACCACGTTGGAGTAGCCTGTGTGCTTAGGTACTGGGTAAACCTAGGGATGTTGGTATCAGAGACTAAGCAGTACTAAGACCTTAATGGGGCTGGGTGTGGTGGCTCACGCTTGTAATCCCAGCACTTTGGGAAGCTGAGGTGGGTGAATCACAAGGTCAGGAGTTTGAGACCAGCCTGGCCAACATGGTGAAACACTGTCTCTACTAAAAATACAAAAAATTAGCTGGGTGTAGTGGCAGGTGCCTGTAATCACAGCTACTTGGGAGGCTGAGGTGGGAGGATTGCTTGAACCCGGGAGGTGGAGGTTGCATTGAGCCGAGATCGCGCCACTGCACTCCCTCCTGGGCAACAGTGTGGGACTCTGTCACAAACAAACAAACACCTTAATGGTAAAGCTGAGTTTTAGCTGAGCTTAATGAGGAAGGATGTATTTGAGTATGGAGAGGAGATTTGGGATGTAGGATATAAATCTGCATGAAGAAGGGAACCACACTTGTATGAGGGACAGCCAGCAAACCTGGGGATACAGGAGGTGGAGGAAGAAATATCCTAGACAGGGAAGCTCCACGACTTTTGGATCAGGTGGATTTAAGTTGGAATTCTGGTCATGCCCCTCACTGGCTGTGTTACCTTTTTAACACAGTCATCTTAACTACTCTGTTTCCATTTTCTTATCTGCAAGGATGGGATGATACCTCTCAGAATCATGCCATATAAAAGAGGTAAAGAATGCCTAGCCTAGCATGGTTCCTGGGGCAGAGCCCATATTGGGCAATGGTCTTTCAACACCGGCTATTTCTTCGGAGAACCCTACTGCCCTCAGTGGACCAGTCATCTCAGGTTTGAGCAGAAGAGCATTGAAGCGTGCGGATGCTGTTGAAATAAACTCCAACACCTTTGTGCCTGCTTTCTGTCCACGCCATCTGTGGAACTGCGGGGCTGCCAGGCTTCAGGAGTTTGAGGGAGGGACTGGAGTTTCTTGGGAGACTCCGTAGCCAACCCGTTTTGATGCTTCTGTGGTTCTGTTGAAGAGGGAGCTTGACAAACGGGACAAAGAGGGCTGTATTTCTTCCAAAGGAAGCTGTGCGTGGAAGATGGGCCAGTGGAAGTACGGCTATCAGCTTGACTCTCGCTGTGGGTGGTGTTTGGACTTTCGTAGGGATTGGTTGGGACTTAGGCCTCAGGAGGCTGCACAGGATGAGTCTAATGAACAACATGAATGGAGGCCCATCCCTGGGTAGCCCCATCCCGGGTTTCTGTCCCTGCAAAATTCTCTAGGCAAGGCAAACAGAAGCACTCCTTTAAACAGTCGCTGGGGCAACTCCAGGTCAAAGGCAAGAGGAGCCGGAGGGTGCTTTTGTGTATCCTCTCTTACTTCTATCATGATTCTAAGAACAGTTTGACAGTCTTCTTGCTTCTTTGGCCCTGGAAACAGAGCTAAGGCAGCTGTAAGAGATGCCCAAAGGGCGTGGGGCTTGAGGTCAGAAAACTTGCAATCTACCAGCTGTGTGACCTTGGGTGAGACACTCTACCTTTCAAGGACCATGAGACATTGTAATAGAGAAGGCATGAGAACTGCTGCCTTTTTTTTTTTTTTTTTTTTTTTTTTTTTTTTTTTTTTTTTTTTTTTTTTTTTGAGACAGGGTCTAGCACTGTTGCCTGGGCTGGAATTCAGTGGCGCAATCTGGGCTCACTGCAACCTCTGCTTCCTGGGTTCAAACCATTCTCCTGCTGAGCAGCTGAGATTACAGGTGCCCACTACCATGCCCAGCTAATTTTTTGCATTTTTTTTTTTTTTTTTTTTTAAGTAGAGATGGGATTTCACTATGTTGGCCAGGCTGGTCTTAAACTCCTGACCTCGTGATCCACCCGCCTCAGCTTCCCAAAGTGCTGGAATTACAGGCGTGAGCAACTGCGCCCGGCCGAGAACTGCCATCATTTACATCTTGCGTCCTCCCAGGCATGTAAAAATCTCTGCCCTCTGTTTCTGACCTTCTCTTGGGTCCCATAAATGTAGAATCGGATTGGCTTTCTCTTAGTGAGACCCCCAAAATTGCATTCTTGGGCTTGACCTAACTTAGCAAAGTGAGAACAAGTCAGCTGTGAGGCTTGCCACATATCTCTCCCGACTGCCGGAAGGAGGTGATGGTAGAGGTGGCTCTGAGGTCAGTGGGTGGCGAACTCCAGGTAGCCTCCTGGGTGCTGGAGAGCCCTGGCCAGTTCAGAACTCACCAAGGGTGGAAGGAACCCAGTTCAGCTTCACGGGGCATTATGGTTGTGTGTGTGTGTTCCATTGGTGATTAGATTCTAGTGAGAAGAGTGGAATTGAAACTAAAATGGGCATGCTATAGGCAAAAGAGGGAAAATAGGAGAGAAAGAGGAGGGAGAGAGTGGGAAATAACTCTAAAATGTAGTCTGGGGTGGGAACATGGGTGAATAAATGT